TTAATTTAACTTTAAATTAAAAATGTTAAATAAACTTCCAAGAAACAAAACTAAGATTCCTAAATTACAATTTCGCACAAAAATGGTGTTTATAAAATAATATAGGAAATTTAAAGCAAACAAAATTAAAAAAAATAACTTATACTTACTTCAGTTAACAGATTACGACAGCTATTAGTGATTAAATATACTTTAATATTTAAAAGGATTTATTCAGTAGTAGCAGTAGAGCCCGGCTTTGCCCAGGGATGTAACAGTAAGAGATAGATCAAGTATCGACCATCATAAAGACTGAAAAATAAATTTGACAAAGATTATTGTTTAAGGTTGACGGACATGTATGTCTTAATTAGTTTTTTTTTTTTTTTTTTTTTTTTTTTACGAATTGGTCAAACCCAAACTCAAACAAAAACATTGTTTTCAATCGTTATGAGTCTACCGATTGAATAGAATTTTATTATAAACAATTGTCTTGTAAATGGAATTTTTAAAATATTCTGAATGTAAGAATAAAGAAAAAAGTGTGCAAGACAATAAGAAACACTACCTGCCCCCCAAAAATGAAGTTTTGTTGAAATCGGTTGAAAAATGTAGGAAATCCAATCCCATATATAAAGGAACACACACACACACACACACACACACACACACACACACCCACAACCTGGGTTTTTATAATAAGTATAACACTATATGAGTTGTCCCCCTTTCATTCTCGCGATGGCTCTTAATCGTGTTTTCAAATTGATTTTGTGCAAAAACAATTGTTTTTCCAATTTTTGGTGCTGTCAGAACCACTTCAAGGTAATTTTCGTAGTCCTGTGAAGTTTTGTTGAAATCGGTTGAAAAATGTAGGAAATCCGATCCAATATATAAATGTACAGACACAACCTGGGTTTTATTATAAGTATGATTATTATTGTTGAGGTAATAAGCATTATAACATAGCACAAATATCCATATTGTGGGAAAAAGAATTTTCCACAATATACACATTTCTTACGTATCTATGGTTATTTTTAACGTTTATCAAAAACGACATTCTTGTACATGTAGTTATGGATAATATTCTCATTCATTCCACACACACACACATATATATATATATATAGCTAGCTAGATGTGTTAAAATTTTGGAATAATGCCATAATAAAAGTTTAAATTCCATCTTTCTGATGATGTCTTGTCCATAACTCACTCCTTCCTCCTAAAAGACGAAGATCCTCCTGAATGCATAGCATGCCAGGAGGCTTATACTGTGAAGCACTTCCTGCTTGATTGCGGTGACATGGCCCATATTCAAAAATTATTTTACAACGTGAACAACTTGAAAGAAGTTTTCGAAAAATCAAACCCCAATTTGATCTTGACCTTTCTTAGGAAAGTTGGACTATATAATAAAATATAATTCCAATTTCGTGTCTTTGATACTTGCCAGGTGAGAAATTTTCAAAGAACAACGCACCTCTGAAAACAGTGAATTTTAAAAAAAAAGCAAGACAACATCGAAAAAGAAGGAAAGGAAAGGGAAAGTCTTTTTGAAAGCATTTCAACCTTATTTAAAGAAAAAGAAAAAAACAACTGTTTGACCTTAAATGATCTCTTGCTGATCGATGGGTCGTTAAGTTTTAAACAAACAAACAAACAAACTGATGATGTCATGATCTGTAAGTACAGTCCCAGATTGATATTTAATAAAGAAACTTGACAAAACTGGGGACTTAACTTTCGAGGACTTTTTTCCTTCAACATTAGTGACTTGAATATATTTAATACAATAAAACAAATGGAAAAAAGAAAATAAACTTGGTTATTAGCATAAATAATTACTTAGCTAGATAAATATTCCCTGAGTTTACAAACCTTGACAGCTACTAGGGAGATGTGATTAAATATACTTTAATATTTAAAAAAATATTCAGCATTATTATTGTTTAGGTAATAAACATTATAATATAGCACAAATAGCTATATTCTGGAAAAAGGAATTTTCGGTAATATACGCATTTTTTACTTATTTATGGTTATTTTTTTAACTTTTATCAAAAACGACATTCTTATACATGTAATTATGGATAATATATATTAATTACTGATTTTTTTTTCTAATTAATAACTATTTGTGCTCAGTTGTTGACATTAATAGCTATCTGCTGGTGTGTTAAAATTTTGGAATAATAAAAATTTAAGTTTGATAGATGTCGTCATCTGTAAATGAGCTAAATTTATTCCAAATGTAAAATTAAAACTTCATTTGAATTTCCTAAGACGTCTACAGCAGTGAATTACAGTAAGCCAAAACCTATACCCAAATGCGTCTCTTCCAGCGCAATGGGAAGCTTTTGAAAATAGGTTATCAGTTGCACCATAACTAGGCCTGTATTATAAAACACCATGGATTGTAATTTAAAACTCACTGAGAAAAAAAAAAGTTGTTTTTTTTTTTTGTTTTTTTTTCAGTGAGGATCACCCTGTACAAGGACCGGGGCCAGTTGAGTTAGCAGTATACGTTAAGGGGCAGTTGATATGGATAGGTTAACTCTAGACTTGAACAGGTTAAGATTGTAGTGATCGGGGAAGCATCCTCTTGGGAGTCGGTTCCACAAAGTAGGTAGAGAGTTACAGATTAAGAGGCACGGTTTATGGGGATATGTTTGGAAGACAACGGTTAACCCTAGATTTGAAGATTGTAGTGATTGAGGAAGCATCCTCTTGGGAGTCTGTTCCACAGAGCAGTAGTTCGTGAGAATAAGTTGTTCGAGTGGAACTTACTTGTCACGTCGGGTTACCTCCTCCTAATTTTCGAAACTGATTCTAGGAGACGCTCTCAGGACTATAAATACTCCGCGATATTTTTTTCTCATTCTCTTCTGACTTTGTCCGCTCATTCGTCAACATGTAACCTCTCGCGAAGAACGTGTTCCTCTTGGGAAACGCATGAAGATACACACACACACACACACACACACGTACGTACGCACATTCACTCATTACACATACTTTGGACCAAAAAGGTTTTCACATTCATTTGTTAAACACATTATTGTCTTAGTTGCTTGTATACTTTTCTTGTTAATACATTATCATTTGTTTGTACATATATATTTGTTCTTGGCGTATATTTTCATTTCTTTACGTGGACTCACATCCTGAGTCCGCCATGTATGTTGTGGGTATTTCTGGAGACAGCGTTATTTCAATCACCGACGTTACTAACGCTCGAAATAAGTTAGGGGGCGCATACTACCGACCCGCAACATTTGCTACAATGTAAGTGGCATGGCCGGTCCTAGTTGAACCGAGGGACGTAGTACATCAGGGCACTTTCCATGGAAGCAGCGATAGAGCAGTGAGTGGTTCGCGCACACCCCGGCTGTGAGAGAGAGGTTGGAAAATAATTCGTCACCCACAAAGACTCGGAGACGCTTTTGAACGCTATCGAGACGGGTATGAGAAGACTGGACAACCCCTGCCCAAATATGACAATAGTAATCCATTCGACTTCGTTGGATTCACTTACACACAAATATTCTTCAGAAAGGCATGAGTCTATCTCTTCTCCTCTCCCACTAGCTATGGGTTGAATAGCAGGTCAGACTGAATTCTTTAGCCTTGGTTGGCAACCAGTCTACAGCAGAAAGAAATAGCGAGCTACTGCAGGAAAAAATCTGCTTCGTCAGTCATGTATCGAAAGATACATGTTCGCTCAAGCGTGTATCACGTTTGGCACTTATATGACTGACCTCATTTTCGGCCTGACAAAAATAACAATATAAAAAAAAATCAGAATCTTATCATGCATAGTATAAAATTGAATTTAGTACGCTTACTTTACGAATATTATTATCACATTAGCCACACGCAAGTCATTGATCGTTAGTTTATTATATAATAGCTGTTTCGTGAATAGGGCCATAGAAAAATGTTAGAAATTTTAATACGAGGCATCACACGCGTACATGCACCTCGAGGCAGTCGTTTTTCTCGTCCCCTATCGGCCTGTGCTGTGAAGGCGTCGGGATGACACAAGACCCACTGACTTAGTTCAATGGCACGGTGCTTCTCAAGAGTCGAAATCGCCATTGACTAGGCATATCTGTTCTTGTGATCTAACGTACATGAATACAAGGCAGTGCTTACCCATGGTGCAAAAGGCTGTAGATAAAAAAAAAATGATATTAGAAAAATATTGCAAATAGTCTGTATAAAGAGATGCAGGAATAAATTTGCTTCCATTCTTTTCTTTTGCCTGATATTCCGATCTTAGAGAGAAGAGAAAGTCTTCACAAATTAATGGTCTTATAAACAGCCTGTATAAAGGGATACAAATATAAATTTGCTTTCATTTGCCTTTGGCCTGATATTTCTATCTAAGAGAGAAGAGAAGGTCTTCAAAATCTAAGGGTCTTATAAACAGACTGTATAAAGAGACACAAGAATAAATTTGCTTTCATTTACATTTGGCCAAGAATTTCTATTTTAGAGCGAAGAGAAGGTGTTCAAAAACTAAGGATCTTATAAACAGCCCGTATAAAGAGACACAAGAATAAATTTGCTTTGACCTGATATTTTTATCTTAGAGAGAAGAAAATGTCTTCAAAATCTAAGGACTTTAAAAACAGTCTATAAAGAGATATGACAATAAATTTGCTTTCATTTGCAATTGGCCTGATATTCTTGAAAAGAATTTATTCAGAATCTATGCCATATAAAAAATTCTATAGACAGCCTGTAAGTTCGTATTAGTGAAAGGCTTCTCCGTATATAGCTCAATGTTAGATTAGATTTACTCAAAGGTAAAATATTTGGGAATCACTGGATACATTTCTAGCTGACGAATAGATCAACCTTTGACTGCGACGATGGCGGCAAATGACGTCTACCTCGTTACGGGCAGCATTCATTCCTTGTGATCAGGGGGGTGGGAGGTGTGGAAAACCCCACCGCGATGAATAGCGGATGCAGGAAGATCGGTAAGTTGGGTGGGTGGGTGTTATAGAATGCCCAGGGCAGTTGCTTCAGTTGCTACTGCTGTTTCCAGCCAAATCCTCCACCCTGCACCTCACGTCTGCAAGTTTGGCGGAGATGGGCTGTCTGACTGACGTAAATACTACAAAAGTACCATTTCATTGATAACGGGTTTTATTTTACCCCACCCTTTCTTTCTAACATCCTCAGGCACCCCGATTTCCTCGTCAATTACCCAGACCACCCCGTTTCACCTTGCACAACTTACGTCAAAAAAGAATCTCTTTCTCTCTCTCTCTCTCTTTCTTTCTCTCTTTCTTTCTCTCTTTCTTTCTCTCTCTCTTTCTCTCTTTCTTTCTTTCTTTCTCTCTCTCTTTCTTTCTCTCTCTCTCTCTTTCTCTCAATCGATATAAAGATATTCTCTGGGAAACGAGCTTATTAACAAAGGCTCTACGGCAAACGTCCATACAGAAAGGATCTCCTCCTCTCTCTCTCTCTCTCCATTACTCTCACTCTCACTCTCTCCATTACTCGCCGTGTCTTCTGGCTAAATTGATATAATCTCTGAGGAGCTTATTAGCAACCGCTCCACGGCAAGCGCCCATACAGAAAAGATATCTCCCCCCTTCCCTCCCACCTCTCTATCTATTAACTATATCCCCCCACCTCATTACTCTCTGTTTCCTCTGGCTAAATTGAGAGATATAATCTCTGAGGAGCTTATTAACAAAGGCTCTACGACAGGCGTACATACAGAAAAAAAATTACCACTTTCTTTCTTTTTCTTTCTTTCTTTCTTTCTTTATCTCTCTCTTAATCTCTCTCTCTCTCCTATCTATCTATCTTCCTCTGAATATGGTTTGCAAGATAAGTTTATTAAACACTCTCCGACAAGCACCGTACAAAAAAGATCTCTCTCTCTCTCTCGCTAAATTGATACAAAGATAGTCTGTGAAACAAGCTTATTAAGAAAGACTCTTTTGCAAGCGTCCATGCAGAAACGGTGCCAATCTCTCTCTCTCTCTCGTCTACGAGATGAGTTTATTAAACTCTCTCTGACAAAATATCGTATAAAAGATCTCTCTCTCTCTCTCTCTCGTTAAAATGATACAGAAGTATAGTCTCTAAGAAGAATTTATTAGCCAACGCTCTACAGCAAGCGCCCGTACTGCAAAGATATCGATCTTTCTTTCTGTCTACCTCTCCTTTTCATTTCCAAATATCCTGTGAAATGGCCTACGTAAAACAAAAAAAAAACACCATCTATGTTTCTATAGGGCCTGGTTTTTAAGATGTGATCGTAGACACAAGAAGACTTTCTGTTTATTCTGTAAACTGTTTGCGAGACAAGGACATAAAACATCGATTTATGGCGAGGGCTCACACGTAAGAGATGCACAATGGGCGAAAGTTTTGGTGCCAAACACCGGATTTCGAAGAATCGCTCAAATATTGAAGGGCGCGTGCCTTTTTCAAAACTAATTTACTAATTCACTACGGGTAAGAAGGACTTTCTCCTTCTTGAAGGGCTTTATCATATATTCAATAATAATAATGCAGGATCTGCGGAAAATATGATGAAGCTGTCGACCATATTATCTCAGGATGACCGGAACTAGCAAAAAATGAATATACCCACAGACATAACAAGGTAGCGACATATGTGCATTGGGTGATATGCCCTAAGCACAAAATCGAGACCACTGAGAGATGGTATGAGCACCAACCAGACACAGTTACCCAAAATAACGATGTAACTATCCTCTGGGACATGCCAATTCAAACTGTTAATAAACGCCAACAGACCCGATATTATCGTAAAAGAAAATTCAGGAAGTGTATGCTAAAGGAGACACGGTGGAATAATGGATTTCTTTTCGGATTGAGGAATCGGATTTCCAGTCGAATCCATTACATTCACTTACGTACTAATACCCTTGGGAAAGGTATGAATCCTCTTCTCTCCCAGTTATGGGTAAATAGCAGGACAGACTGGGTTCTATAGCCTTGGATGGCAACTGGTCTGCCGCAAAAAGAAATGGCAACCTACTGCGGGGAAAAATATGCCTTGTCTTGTATGCCATGCATCTGCCTCGTCATGTATGATGGCACATAACTGACTGATGCTTATTGACATAGAAGTACCATATGAGAGAAACACCTCCATCTCCAAATACAAGGACCTGGAGATCGAGATTAACAGAATATGGGGAATGAAAACTGAGACTGTACCAATAGTAATCAGAGCTCATGAGAAAAGAAATGGACAGTTTTACTAACAATGTCCAAGGTAACCTAGGAAAAGGTTACTGAATAAGAATAACCAAAACGAAGGTTGGAAATGGAAGGATAATATTTATAAGAGAAACAACGTACAAGAGTTGCCAGCGGCGTGTAGTAAGTAATCAACTGCCAGTGGTGAGCTAGACGTGAATCGCAAAGGAATGCTACAGTGAATCCAAATGACGATATTCACTAACCGCCCCACGCGGTCGGATGTGGCACAAGGCCGAGTTTTATTGTAGGGTATCCAACCCCGTAGACTCGGCCAAAAATTCCCCGTAGACTCTGTAAAAACGGAGTCAGGTAGCTGTCTTCCAAGACGAGACACTGCCCTTCAACATAGCCTCGTCTGGGAATCCTCTCTGCCCGGAGGAAAAGAGTTTGTCCAGCCCAATTGGAAGTGAATCCAAATGACTACCACATACAGTATATTCTACAGTATTTAGAGACCATAGGTACCGTATGACATACAGATTTCCCAGAAGATCACCTTATTAGGAACATTCTCGATACTAATAGAAGTGCTATCAATTATATGACAATTCTCCTTAGGACCATAGTTTGGACACGGTTCTACAGGATAGAAAGCAGGAAACATACGCACATAATAATAATAATTAAGAACAAGATTTTACTGCCTGAATTTTCCTTAAGAGTTTAACTCTGTTTGCCTCATCTACCTTGCTGTTGTAGCCTGTTAAGGGCCAGAAAGAAAGACACGGAAAGAAGAAGGTAGGTTGAACAAGAGTATTGAAATAACAGAACATATATACAAAATAAGTGTTATTAGTCAGCAGATAGAAGTGTCCACCCAAACTATCAGGTTACACTGAGTTCTGACTGCCGGTGTTTAACAGCCCTCTCACGAGGGATGTATGTGGCACAAGGCCGAGTTTACCGTGGGTTCTCCGAGCCCGTAGGCTTGGCCCAAAATATCCCCACATAAACAGGTTCGGATCTGTCTACCTCCCCGGACGAAACTCTGCCCTTCGGCATAGCTTCGTCCGGGTTCCTCTCTGCCAAAGCAGAGAGTTCGACAGAAGTCCCGACTGCTGATATTTAACAGTCCCCCCCCACGAGGAATGTATGTGGCACAAGGCTGAGATTAAAGTGGGTTTCTCCGAGCCCATAGGCTCAGCCAAAAATATTCCCTTTGAACCCCCATAAACAGGTTCAGTGCCTGTCTACCTCTCCGAACGAAACTTTGCCTTTGCCAAAGCAGAGAGTTCGACAGAGGTCGCACACAGAGACTGCGTCCCGACTGCCTCTCTTAGGAAGTCTCGCAGGTTAGTATTTATGAAGAAGGAAGAGTTCATTCTCATGTAGATAGGTCACCATAACAGAAACACCTCCATATATCAAGATCTATCAGGTTACACTGTGTCCCGACTGCCTACCTTAGGATGTCTGGCAGGTTAGTATTTATGAAAGAGGAAGAGTTCATTCTAATGTAGATAGGTCACCATAACATACTCTTAGAGCTGTCGGATGTTAAATTTTAGGTAAGCCTCTCTCTAAAAAAAGAAAAAAAATCGATGTCATGCTCTAATGGATTAGATAGTTTCAGTATCCTAGTTTAGCAGAAGTTAATTAAACCAAAGAAGGTAAGAAACTTACTAATTATTAAATCCAGAGAGTAGCCAGAAATGTTGGGCCGAAAGTGTATATGTATACAGTCAAATTTGATTAAACGTCAAACAGGGACAAACGTACCCGCAATAAGACATTATGTGGCTTCCCTCTGTCTTTTCTACAAATATATTTATGGCAACTCTTCTGACAAGCTATTTTCTCTGGTGCCCCGACTGCATGAATTTAAGGGTGCAACTAGGTTGACATCTCGGTCCCACCCTTTTAATGTCGAAACAGCTAAATGTAACCACCTCTTCTATTCCAACTGCTTCTTTTCTCGCACTTCTCGACTGGAACTCACTTCCTCTTACTTCCTTCCCTGATAGCTATAATCTTCAAAAATTTAAATATAATGTCAATCGACATCTTCTGATGCTCTGATCTCCGTTCTTTCTATACTTTCCTCAATCCCCCCCCATACCAAGCGTAGTCCCTTACTTTTACTCTCTGTAACCTCTTGAGTACTAGTGGCACTCCTGCCTTGATTGCGGTGAAATGCTTATAAAAAAAACTATGTCAAAAGGACAGTTTTTCCCCATGACACCGCTTTTAAAACGACCTTCACTCTTCGCCAATGTTTATTGTTTTAAAAAGCGACGATTAGAATTGGAATAAAACCTAAACATATGATGAAAGTGAATTTAGACATTTTTTTTTTGTTCTTGAGAATTTACAACATTCTATAAACTAATACAATTAGAACTAATGTAATATTTATCATTGATCAATTTATAAAGAAATAAATGTCAATACTATTTTTTATTCATAAAATTTATAAACATTTACTAAATTATTAAAATATGTGTACCAACTATAAGTAAATCTTTATTAGTTACCATTTTATTATTCAGTTGTCTGAATTTCTGGGATGAGAAGTTACCATTATTTACACGATTCAGATGTGTACTATTGTCCTCATCTTTGTCATTGAGCAGTGCTAAAAATTAAAACTAGATAAACTATCACTAGACATGCGCAGTGGAAAGAGAACAGTCTACACCTGTAGATTTTAAATGGCAAACATGGATCTTTGTGCCTGCAATAAGATGGAGTGCCAAAAAGACAGTTTTTCCCATGACACCTCTACTATTTTAACTACCTCCACTCCTCAGCAATGTTTATTGTTTTAAAAAGCGATGATTAGAATATAGAACCTAAACATATGATGAAAGTGAATTTACACATTTTTTCTTATTGTTCTTGAGAATTTACAACAAAAATATTAAACACTATTTATTTATCAGATTGTTACTTCGATTAGTGGCCAAGGCAGAGAATCTTGAGCAGAGAATCTGCAGTAAATTGACGCAGCACATTTTCCAGATTCAACAACCGCCATATTCCCCAGAACTAGCCCCTTGTTACTTTTTCGTCTTTCAAAAAATCAAATCCCACATGAAACGTGTCAGGAAGGAGATTTCTCGGCGTCAAAGAAATCCAAGACAATACGACGAGCCAGCGGCTCGCCATGACCCCCGAAAACAAATGGAGTTGCAGGAATGTTTCAATCAATGATAACTTCGTTGGATGAAGTGCGTGGATTTAGAAGGGAACTACTTCGAACGCGATTAAATGCCGAATTGATATTTGTTGTAGTTTTCTTTTTATAGCACGGGTCCTGATATTTTTTTTTCATCAGATATCGTATGTATCTATGGCAAAAACAAAATACGTAAACACGTAGATGTAGACATAGTCGGCAAGACAAACTTATTAACGCGTGCCAGAAACCACACATTTAAAACCGTTTCTTCTCTCACACACACTTTTTCGCTCTCTCTTTCACACTCTCTGTCAAAGACATAAACTCATATAGCAAGTCCAAAGGAAATGAAAAAAAATATCCTACTTAAAAAAAAAAAAAATAAAGTTAAAGTTATTCCAAATGTAAAAGCAAAAATTTCTTTGGGTTTCTTAAACCAACTACGGCAACGCAATACCGCAAACTTAAACCGATACTAATAGGCATAGCTTCCAGTGAAATGAGGAGCTTTTGAGATAGGACGCCAGTTGCATC